ACTTTTTCGATAGTAACAATAAATTCAGCATGAAATGAAAGAAAGCAGGCTCGAAGCGACGTAGGATCACATGGAGGCATCACATGGAAGTCATGCGACGCATGATGAAGATTTTTGTTGTTCTGCGTTCCTCAGTGACCAGCAGTTCACTTTTTTTCGTTGCAAACTTTTATTTCCTATGATTATTCCGTTGTGATGTCGCTGGAAGTCAAAACGAATTATTTCCGCTCCAGAAGGATATCTGGGAGAGGGGATGAAGAGTAAGGGGGTCGAGGCTGTAGAGGAAGTGGAACTCTGCGAGCAATTCTTTATACTCGAACTCACAGATCGTGATCTTATTATTGCAATTTTCACCCTCGTTTAGATGCTCCTGCTGTCTTTCGCTGAGGCTTTCTCGTTGATTAAAATTGAGAGGAGCCTGTTGAGAAGGTCTAATCACGGTTTCTTAGCAAGGCTTTAGAGCCTAACCCACGTCATGTTGGGCTTGTTTTCGATTAAGTGTGAGCTCTTCCTTCCTCATCACTTCAATAGAACTACTTGTTGACACGATGTATACTCTGAATTAACGCACCTATCGCTTGAACTTTGTGCCGATAATTCTTAAGGTCCTAGAGGGATGGCCTCAATGTGCTCTTCTAACACTTAAATTGGCTGCTTGGCTATTTGTAGCGTCTGTAATGATTGTAGGGATAAGACGAATGGGAACGGTTGTCCGTGCTTTAATTCTGCATAGAGCAATTCTTCATGGATCAATTCTTCGCTATTTATTTCGAGAAACAACAGAGACTGCATGATGAATTGGTTCTCCACTCTCCACTTTCCCGTCCTTTTTTCGTTTTCCCTTCGACGCAGCCCTTATTTTTAGTCCCTATCAATATTCTTTGAAATTAAGTACGTGATTTCTTGCAGTTGATGTCTGGTCAGTTGGTTGTATTCTGGCAGAACTCGTGTCTGGCAAGCCCATGTTCCCTGGTGATGATCGTGAGTCATTCTTGCTTATCTAGCATTTTATAGTCGCTTTTTCTGAAGGTCAGACGGAATTCCAGTATTACTATGAATCATGGAAAGAAAAAATAGATGCTTTACATTTTTGATCGTAATCCTGGTCCGTTTCGACGATCAGTGGCCATCTTACTCTGGGGCCATTAGTTCATTTTTTCAGACATCGATCAGTTAACAAGGATTATGGGCGTGGTTGGAACGCCAAGTTGTGACTTTTTGTCGAAGATTCAGTCCGAGGAAGCTCGCAACTATATTAAGTGAGTTAAGGCCCTGATTTGTTCATAAGTGTTGGGGGAACTACTTGTTGGGTGTTTTCACGCTGATTCAATTTTTTTTTCTTTTTGCTCTATTTTATATAATTTCGCTTGCTTGTTTTTGTTTTCTGCATCCTCCGATCCTGTGGCATTTTCCTATTTACGGAATATAATTTTTGTTCCGCCGTATCCACTCTGTCATGCTGTTATGGAAATTTTTACAGGTTTTAGTTTTATTTTAATAACGATTTAATTTTTCAATTTTACTCGACCGCAGTGTCCCTTAGTGTACTTTATCCGTTCCTCCTGGATCTCGTAACATAGCTCTTACTCTTTCACGCCCATCACTCGCTGTTTTTGGGTACCCACCCTCGTTTGGTATGCATGTTATCTTTTGAGTCATCCACCTCCTTCTCCGCCCTTCAAAGTGGTATTGTGCCGCGAGATGGCTAACACTTTTCACAAAGAACCTTTTTAGGGCACCTTTTTGAGCTTTTATGAGATTTTCCTTGTCGAGTCGTTCCATTCGTTTGAGTCAGGCTTCAGCATAGAAGGTTGGAATTATAAAAATGTATCGAATTAACGTCGTCATGACGGATGCCAGTAGTGAGCGTACAACTTTCTGTCATTTCTTGTTTTCTACAATCCCCGTCCAATTTGCATGAAAGCTCTTACGCTGAACTTTCAGTCGATTTCGCTTTACAAACTCTTTTTTTTGTGTTTCGGCGGAATTCTTCTTTACTTTTTTAGTGTTCCTTCGTGATTTTCCGCTCTTCTTTTTCCTTCATAGTACATCTGCACCTAACAGAGCCGTTGTAGAACGTATTGATCCACGTTTGGGTGAGCTCCTGGTCGACCAAATGAAAGTTCAGCTAGTTCAGCTAGGCATTGGATAATCTTCCATGCGCCAGATTAATTTTTATGAATTATCAATTTAATAATAACTAGTAATTTGCCCCGCACACTTCAACTGAATCCTCAAATCTCATTTCAGCTCAGGTTAGGGGTTTCAGTGAGAGCGCCTTAAGAGATTTATAGTCATTTAGAGATAACCAGCTTATTTTATGTAATTGTTCACATTGCTATTGCCCTTGTGCAGACTTTCGAGATAAAGTCTTAGGGTTACTATAAGATAATAGTATAAACAGGGGAATATATAAATGTCTCGTTGTCGTAAAGTCCAACCTGTCACATTCTGCAGGTCATCACGTTGCTCCTCATTTTGTCTACATGTAATTGTTCTTGGGGCCTGGTGAACCCTGTATCTTATGCTTTACTTCTTGTGTAATAGAAAAGCAGTACCTGCCTACATTAGGAAATGCAGCCGGAGAAGACGAATGACTGAGTGAGCGAGTTGTTCATGTTAGTCTGAATCCATCTTCCCAGATGTGGAGTTTGTTTTCTTGTTTTTGTGGGCCGAGGAAAAGTTCGTATATCCAATTTTTAGTGTAATCGTTCTCGAGTCTTCTGGGCTCTCGTACATGATAATAAAGGTCTGTCGTGCGCAACTTATCGGCTCAAATTATTATGGCATACGCGGAAGTCATCTCATAAGTGCAGACATATATGGAATGTAGTTCAACTCGAATCTTCGACATTTCTTGAATGTACACGGCTTGTTCGTAAAGCAAGTGATCACGCTGATCTTTACCCTCTATTGTATTGTGGCTTGCTCTGTTGGCATCTTGTTCACCTGCTTCCTTGTCATGTGGAACCCAAAGAGTCAATGATTCTTGACTCATATCGCCCTGAGTTGTCTCCTGAGCTTTCACCTTTTTGTTCGTATGTCCTCCTTAGCGCCAGTCTTGTCTCCGACTCATTTTGTCAATTCTTCACTACCTGTCGTTCTCTGGGTAGATTGGACATTTGTTTTTTTGCTTTCTGTCCCTAATATTGTTTTAATCTGTTCTTTGGGTGTTAAGAGCTTGAAAAAATCAAAGTGTGAACTTTCACCTATATTGGTCTTGACAAACATATGTTGGTTGGGGCACGGTCCTGCATTTGTGTCTGGTAGATTGACAGCTAAGTGGCAGCGATTTTCCAGGAATCCTCTAATTCACACTTATTCAGTCGCAAATGTGAACACAAAGCTTCCTTCTGCTAACCTAATTCAATTACCTTGATGACTTTTTCTAGCTTTTAAATGAAGTGGCGGATGATTGACGTAGTGAACGGTGTAGGCGTTCAAATTGCTGTCTTACACCTTTCTCACCCGCTTTGCTCTTTGCCGTCGGAATCCCAACGCTTTTCTTGATCCTACTGTTTCTGCTGTTCTAATTTCCGGGAATCTGGACATTTTTCTAGCATAGCTCCCCTCATTGGGAGTACCATATCTCATAGCTCTCACATGACGTAGTAAAAAGTATTATATTCTCTGGAGATGTGGTTTGAAGGGCTTCCTAGATTGCTTCGCTCAGTTTTTTCCCTCCCCTTCTTTGCTTTTGTTGGGTCCGCCTTCTAAGCATCTCTGACCTTTTCTTGAAAGTGCAGAGAATAGTCTGGAACGAGTACACGACCTTCACTGCACGATTTTTTATGACTCCGCTTGTTCCAGTTTGTGGCTTAATGGTTATGAACTTGAAGTTGAGCCTTCTTGTCATAAGTGCGGTGAAGATGGTGAGTATGGGGGAAGGGGCATGGACGGTGGAAAGTGGAAACTACAAGGTATTCACATTCCTGTACCACCACCTCAACTCAGTTTTTTTTCTTGTGCTTCTAGTTTCTGTGAGATGCAGAAAAAGGAGGCGCTGCTGCCAGCTGCCACCACCATGATTCGTGGAAAAGCTCCCCGATTGATACTGGTTTTCACAATTATGTGTTTAAACGAGGTCTCACTGGGAGACCACTAAGATTCCGCTGAGTAGATGTCGGAAGCGTGGGCTCACGGGAATCGACGGGCTAAGAGCTCTTTCTATTCATTCTTTATGTTTCAGAAGCATCACGTTTGTCACCATCCATCAAATTGTTCTTTTTGCTCCTACGCCTCACCCTTGTAATTCAGCTTAATGGTATGCATATACTACTATGGTAACACCAAGATGACTAGGAGGTCTCGGGTACTGATTGTGAGGAGACAATTTCTCACGAGATAAATGGATCCTCGACAGAAACAGGCAGTAGAAGTGTGACCAAGATGTGGAAGGGTCTTCAACCACTTGCTCTCTACCACTCAGAACCAGTTTTTCTTAAGACTGGGACTAGAAAGATTCTTTTCAGAACCGCTTATCCTCTCCTCGAGATTCTTCAGTTCTTCCTTCATTTCCTGTGGGAAGAGAAAGGCTTTTGGGCCTTATGGGCGACCGGTCTGACCACTTTGAGGCGCCCTACACGTCTGTTACATCTTTTCTCGGGGTTGCCTGATCAGTGCTTGCGGGTTAGAGAACTCTGAAAGGTCTTTTTCTGTGATATTAAAGGGACAACTTCTAGTTTTTCTGGTGTTTTTGTTGCGTGATTTGGTAACCCTTGTTTATGTGTTTATGTTTATGGTGTTTTTGGACGATCTGTGACAACCGGAAGTTTTCTGTGAGGAATTTTGCTGTGCCACATTCCACTATTCAGCACGATTTTTCTTGCGTCAGCTGTTAGTGTCTAATTACATATTTGCTCCATTTTTTCCATCACACACGATATGATAAGGACATAACTGATAACAGGAGTCTTAATATAACTCAGCTTTCAATTGTCTTCATTGCCAAGTTATCAAGTGAACCATCCAGAAAACCATATTCCAGAAATCTTCCATGGATGCCACGTGTTGATTTCTTCACTCTGTTACCGGATGCATCGGCGGATGCTGTGGATTTACTGGGTCATATGTTAGCCTTGGATCCCGATGACAGGTTAATTAATCTTTGTCTTGGTTCGGCTGAGTACTCGGGAGCGAGGTGGTCTGAAGCTTCTCAGGAACGAATATTCTACAACGTCTGAAAGCTTTTTAATCAAACATGTTTTTCAGAATTTCCGTAACCGAGGCACTCGAGCATGCATATGTACGAGATTGTCGTGATCCTGAAGGTGAACCAGTAGCTGATCATCAAGTTGGCATTGATGCGGAGGAAGAGGCTGCTACGTCCCTAGATGATTGGAGAGGTTAGTCTCTAGAACCTTTAATTACTAAATTTTTTAATTTTCAGTTTTTTGTCTACGCGCTTCTCGTAATAGCATGTTAACTATATTTCCCTTCCTATTCTTCGACTCCTCAATTGAACTTTTTGGTCTGAGAAAGGAGAAATTACTAAAAATAGCTGGGCCTTGTCAACCACTATACCTATTATTCTCACCCCGTGCACGCCATTTTTCTCGTGGAGCCGTCTATTCTCGCTTGCCTTCAGGTTTTCCCTTCTCTTACTTCCTAGTGCGCGCTCAGGAGCGTTCACTTTCGTTTTTGTAGTTCTATGGCCACTCGTTGGTGCGTTATTGTTTCCCCATGATCTTTATGGTTGGTTCCGTTCAGTATCGCTACACACCGGCCATAGACATTCGCTCTCACCGGATGTCTTTGGCTGTTGCGCCCGACTTTCAGTTTTGGCTGTAGACGCTTGTTATTTTTCTGTTACTAATTCATGCCGGATGCCGTGTGCTATCTCCATCTGTTGCACGATATCTGTCTCCATTTTATTAGATTTTTTCTCTTTACTGCCTTTTTTAGCGTAGTCTTTCAGCCATTCGCTATTTATGGACATATAGCGGGTACTCTCTCTCTTTTCTCAGCTATAGCGCATTGTCGTTTTCTTCTGCTTAAAGTTGCCTATCTACTTGGTAGTACATTCGAACTCGCTTTGCCTCTTTCTTTTTGTCTTGCTTGTTTGTTGCCGTATAATGTCGCGACTTATTGCTTGCCGTCACCCACTCCTCTCTAACACTGTGAATTTCTTTACTAAGGGTAGCTGAGGCATTTTATCATCGAGTTCGTCCGTTCTCAATTGGTATTTCTGAGGGATAGGATACTGAAAAATCGAAATTGAGAAAAGATATATGCACAATTTCCTATGAATATTCATTTTCGAACTTTAACTTCCCTTACGAATGATACTGAACTTCCCTTTTCGGCCTCCTTATTTGGTCAAAAAAAAAAAACCTCTAAATATGTCTTTCGATCGAGCCAATCTTCTTTATCTGTTTTTATTTTCAAATGCAGTCTTGAATTTGCTATATTACGTAGAAAGCATATAAAAGGTGAAAAAGTTGCAGATCTCTCTATTCTTTATCTTTTTTTTTCAGAATTGATTTGGAAAGAGATCCAAACGTTCCGTATGTGCTCACGACGATTGAGTTATTCGAGTGGAGATGATAAATGTTCGGTTGAGTTAGAGGAACAGTCTTCGTTCTCTGTGAACGAAGATAGCGATGTCGACGATGTGGAGGAAGAGGGAAACTTTTGAAAACTCGTATTTCACGCTTCATAGTTGCCTCAATGGTACTTTACTTCGTTAGGGCGCTTCTTCAATTGTACAGTTCAGGTCATTCATGTACAGTTTAATTACCTGTTTAGAGTTTTTTTTT